TTAGTTTGCTATTCATTTGCGAGCCACCAAGCGTATGATGAGCTTCTGTTTAGACATGGGCCCTGCTTGTAGGTGCATCAAATGTTCAAATGCAAAACTGTAGTAACGCTCCAATAATTCAGGCGATCTCTCTAAAAGATGGAATCATGCAAAAACGCATGATCGCATTACTTTGGTTATGTATTAAAATCGTCTCCACTAAGATCCGATGATTTTTATTACAGTTTACGGAATTGATTTGCGGTAAAAATTGTCGAATGCTTGCAGTGAACATTGAATATAAAAGTAGAAAATCGAAAGCTATGAATGCTTGACGTGAAACGAGGCGAACTGGGAAACCATCTGTTCTCCCATAAATTATACGCTCAGCAGTTTTAGAACTGTTTCTGTTTCAGGTGAAAAGACACGGTGTCTATGCGGCTCAGCTGAATGGTTGTTGGAAACGTGTGCGTGTTGACCGTGTCGACTACGACACACGCCAGTGCTCCGTGGAAAGCGTGGACGATGGACAACTGGTCACAGTGTGTGCCAGCGAGCTGTTTGTGCTGGAGCCGGCCTTCATCACCAACCAGTATAAGCGCACTTTTGCGGTGCATTTCGTGATGCCACGTAAACGTTAGTTGCTGAGTTCCACTCGCCCTTTTTGCTCGGATGGGCACCGATCAGCCAGTTACTTTCAAATGAGCAACGAATACAGTGCAGCAGCAGAATGTATGTGAAGTAGCATCGAACGAGCTTCTGTTGGTCCACTCCCTTGGCCTCCAGATGGCTCACTGAAGCAAACGATTTCAAGAAATTGTCGGAGTCTAAGCAGAAAGACTTTTTGAAACTTCATAAGGAAGTTTGCTCATCAATTTCTGACTGTATTTTATTGCAGCGAAACGAAAATGTCTTGCCGCAGCTGGATTCGTGGATGGGCACGAGCTGAACAGTGGACAGTTCGTGAATGTCTTCGTATTTTCCGATCGTGAGCCATTCCTGGCGCTTCTCAGTGAAGGCTAGTCAATGCGCTAATTTGTCTTAAACGTATTTGGGCTGTTGAGTTAGGTTTGCAACAAGCATTAGCATTTCTCGATACGTTAACGCTGTGATCAGCTGTTGTTCCGCCGCATCTTTTATTCTCGCTATTGATAGATTTGGCAATTTCTCTATTCTTCACTGCTTTGAGCTG